TAGGGTTATTGATATATTTAAGGTTAGAAGATAAGAAACATATAGTAAAATTGGTCGAGAAAATCTTTTAATTAGTGTATAAAAAGCAGATTCTTATGTTAGTTCTTGAGATAAATGATGTTTTTGTCAAAATAAATATTTGTTTTGTGACTTTCCTGATCGTGTTACGTTATACTGAATTACAGTTTCCCATTGGATGAATTTGCTGTCGATCATCACGTAACCCGAAAAATTTTTGGTCGCCCTGGTGGATTCTCGATGTTATGTTAGATGAAGACAGAAATGAGGAAAATCAGCAGAAGGTACAAGACAACACATTACAGCAAACCAAAATAAATATGGACGTATAGCAGAACGGGCCAAGCGAGCAATTAGATACAGAGAAAAAAAATCAACAGACGCAAATGAATACAAATAGTGCAGATATAAACGTTCTGAATATAGATCACGAAGATGTACAAGCACAAGTACAAGAAAATAATATAGAGAAACAAGCAGATGATGGTTTCATAACGGTTATGCACAAGAAGGTTAAAATAAGGAAGAGCACACATAATAGTAGGTTCAAGCCATATGTAAGTAATAGACCATCCCGGGATGGTCATAACAAATGAACATATAGTTTAAATAGGAATAAAAGTGAATCTGAAGGTACAAATAATTTAATTTATATACTAGTATAAGGAAGGGTAATATTTTCAGAATCGCCACACTTAATATAAAAGGGCTTAATGATAGATATAAGTGCCAAAAAACAATGACTATGCTTAAGACATATAAGATAGAATTGATTATGTTACAAGAAACAAATTTAACTAATAATAGTACGAGAAATTTTTTGAAACAGCAATGGGGATACGATTCTATATGGACAGCTAGAGTAGCTATTTTAGCAGGAAATAGAGAAATCAAGTTTGAAAATATCGAAGAATCTTATCAAGGAAGGGTACTTTGCACCGAATTTCAATATAGGAAACGGTCATTCCGGGTTATCAATATTTATGCTCCGCTAGCACTAGAAGAAAGGGTATGATTTTTTGATAGGTGGTCAATAAAGAAAAACATTAATGCAATCAATATAATAGCAGGAGATTTCAATGTGAACCTCGACCCAGACATAAATAGAATAAGTCATGTGATACCGCATAATGATCCGTTTAAGAAAAAGCTTAAAGAACTTACCCGTGGGATAGTAGATACTAGCGTTGCAGCCTTCCAAATGCTATTTATCACATATTCCCAAAAGACAAGAGGGAACATACCATGGCCACAAGGTTGGACTATATCTTCGTGGATAAACAAAATACACAGTATTGCCAAAAGATATATACGAAGTTTGGTAATTCGGACTACCTCATGGTAGCAACTGAGATGAAATTTCGTAAAAATGAATTACAATCATCGTATTGGAAAATAAATTATAAGTGCCTTGAGAATGAAATGTTAAAGAAGGAAATTGTAGAGGAAATAAGAACAGTCACAGATCTAGAAGGGTGGGATTACTGTAAATATAAGATCCAGTCTTTGATTAGGGCTAGAGGGGTACTTAAAGCCCCAGAAAGTAGTATTCAAAAGCTAAATAGGAAAATAAATATTTTAGAAAAAAAGGTTGCTAGAAATAAGAATTTATCCGACCTACAATTAGAGATTAAAAGGTTAAGGAAAAATTTTTGAGATGAACTTACAAATTTAGCTGATAAATGGCAGATCCATTCTAATGCAAGGTGGATCAAAAGTGGGGAGAAATCGATGAAGTACTTTTATTCTAGATTTAAGACTAGACATAATGCGGTGGTGATAGACAAGATTAAGATTCCAAATAATATAGGAGGGTCAAACCCTATCAAGGTATTACACTATATTAAAAAATATTATAGTCACATATATCAACCAGAACCGATTAAGAAAGAGGAAATGGATAGAATAACAGACGGTCTTCTACAAATAGAGGAATCTGACAACCAGAGTTTAATCAAATATATTACAAAAGAAGAGATAAGCGAAGTTATACATAGCCTCCTCAACAACAAAACCCCAGGGACGGACAGGATCACGTATAAATTCTATAAGGAGTTGTTAGAAGAAAGTAGTTTAGTATTCGAAAAAATTTTTAATGGTGTGATCAAAAAGAAAAAAATGTCCAGTTCGTGGTGTAAAAATGTAATAACATTGATCTCAAAGAAATCGGAGGATTTAGAGGATGTGCGAAACTGGAGGCCCATTTCTCTAACAAGCTGTGATGTTAAAGTATTCATGAAGATTTTAGCAAATTGGTTTAATAATTTATACCAGAAAGTTATCAGTATTTATCAGCAAGGCTTCATCAAAAGAAGGTTGATTTTGGAATCTGTAATGGATATTATGTCCGTTATGAGAAATCAGTCTAATCAAACACAGCAGGGTTGGATATTGTTTTTAGACAAACAAAAAGCTTTTGATCGTGTTAGTCATGTATATTTGCAAGAGGTTTTAACAAAAATAAATTTTGATCCAAGTTTTATACAAACAATTAGAGCACTATTTTCAAAACAAACTGCATTTATAGCAGACTCAGAAATAATATCGAAACTTTCAGAGTTAATCGTGGGGTGAGGCAAGGTGACCCGCTCTCACTTCTCCTATACGTACTCACCTTCGAACCCTTTTTTAAATCATTTGACAAAAACTTAATGGGAATAGCCCTAAATTAACATTCAAGACAACAAAGATTTAAATTAACAGCTTACGCTAATGACCTTACAATTGGTATAGCATTGCACACAGAATAGGATATTATCACCAAAGTGTTCCAGGAATATAAAGACGTGTCTAACGCGAAAATTAACAAAATTAAGTCAGTTTTGGTTCTGCTAACATCTAACGCCCGGCATATAGAACACCAAGAGGCAAAAAAGTTTAAAATGTTACCAGACAATGAGTTGGTTAAAGTACTAGGATTCGTGTTGGATTCGCAAGGTAGAATAAGTAAGAATACTTGGCCAGAAATGATATTAAAGATAAAAAATATGCTAGAAAAATTATCACAGCATAGCTTATCTATCAAGGGTAGAATCTTAATAATCAAGACTTTGGTTCTGTCAAAAATTTAGTTCTTACATACCTTGCACTACTGAGCAGAAAACAATTAGCAGAAATTGATAATCTTGTAAAAGTTGGATTAAGAATTTCTGCAAGATTCTCCCAAGATACTCGATCCTACAACAAGAATATAGATATGGAGGCCTAAATGCACCAATATTAAATGACCTAGTGGATGCTAGACTACTTTCTATATTTGTAAAATTACTTACCAGTAAAAACTGTTGGGCAGAGGCAGAAAGAGAATTAATAAAGGTAGAATTACATAACAAAAGGAATATTACAGTATTACACACACTTAATGAAATACCATGCAAGAACAGGGTTGGTCAGAGTTTTGGAAACCTTTTGTTATAGCATGGAAAAGGGCAAAAGGATCTGTGAATAATGGGTTAGGAACATGACCCTGGAAACTGGAGGAGGTTAAAGTTGCTAATATACTAGGGAATGAATACACGGTGCGCCAGGGGGTCTCCTTTTTGAAGAAAGAGTCACTGTCAACAGTTATTCAGAAGCAAGAAAATGGTAATAAGAGGAATAAAGACTTCTGGAGTTGGTCTAAAATAAAATGGATCAACAATAAGCATAAGGATATCTTTTGGCGTTACTGTCACAGATCACTGCCGTTAGGATACAGGTTAAAGCATATAATACCGAATAACAATGGTGACTGTCCGATGTGCCATGAAGAAATCCAAACTAATGAGCATTTTGGGATAAACTGTAAAAGCAGTAAGATCATATGAGAAGCTGTATACTTATACTTAAACCCAGGGGAGCCCTCTCCAAGGATATACGAGAAAATAATTACAGTATCGAATATTAAAGATGTGGGTAAGAAGAAGATAGCGTGCTGGCTACACATTAACATGCTGTATAAGATCTGGTTTTGTTATACACAGATTAGATGGGGCAGAAAGCCAATACCAGAGCTGGCTCTCCCCATAATTGTTAAGAATAGAATTGAGAAGTAGTTCAAAGTTTTAAAATGTTGTAAAAAGAGTAAGATAATGGGAACAAATATACACAATTTTAATTAATAGTAGGTAGATATATAATTAATTAATTATGTAATAATATGTACATAGTAGAACTAAATAAAGTACGCCTTCCGGTGTCCTCTTGGGAGGGGTTTAATACAAAAAAAAAAATAAAAATAAAAATAATACGGAAATGATGCCAATCTAACTCCAACGGTATACGGATAATAAGACTAACTTTGGGTAAGTAAAATGGGTCTTTTATAAGTGTTAAGGAACTAGTAGGGCGATATGGTACATTAGAGTAATACTTTGATATCAACGAGCGATGATAATGATCGATGCAATGACAGGTGATGCCGTTAAGGGCAATAACAAAGTAGTGATCTCAAGGACTGTGAGGATGATCAGAGTTGAATAACCAATCGTAAGTATTGTTTTCTACCACAATTCACGCAAGTCACTAATGTGAATGGCAATATCTGATTCCACAATCGTTCAAGAATCCAAGTCTTAATAAGCCAAATCGAAGTTACAAGTCAATTCAGTCCGTCAAATTGAGTCTCGAAAAGGTTTATTAAAGTTACAAGTCGAATTCAAAAGACAATACACAAGGAAAAATTCAGATAAGTATATATTCTTTATTAGTTATTAGGGATTGAAAGTGGATGTGGGACATGTCTTTATTGAAATTGAGAGCCTTATATACATGTTAAAGGTTTACATTATATTCGCGGAATTTTCAGTGTATTCGCTGTATTTTCAACGAAGTCTTAGCAATCTCAGCGCATTCGCTGCTATTACCACGCATTCATTGTTATAACCGCGTTTTCGTGGTAGTTACTGCGTAATCGCGATGCATCTGATTTTCATGCATCTAAGCAACTAAGCCACTTACAACTTCTATTTTAGTATAACTGATTAAAATAATTACACGATACAAAGAAAAGTCGGTTACTGCTATGAAAATGGAATTGAGAAGAACTATATACATAAATAAAAAGAGAACTATATACATAAATAAAAAGATAAAAACTATAATAATATGTTTATATAGAAATAAAATAAGATAAAATATAATATAATAAAAAAAAAGTAAAATTTTATTCATTACAATAGCTATATGAATCCTTCTCGGCCAGGGTGGAAAATACCTATTTTTTTCCCGGTCATTTACTGCGCCGATACCCATTGTTTAAAGTATCTTTTTGATACATTAGAATATAAAAGTGCAATTGACCACTATAAATTTTGATTATTTAATCGTTACGTCGTATTTATATTTTAAATGCTATAATGCATATAATTCTGTAGTGATTTGTTTTTAACCAATTAGATTTAATGTATGGTGAATCAAGAACAATAATTTTAGAGTGGCCGGTAAATGAATAGGTATTTCCACTCGGTTGCAATACGTAAGTGAAACAATTACATCTGAAGACATAGATAAGTAAACATTGTGCAATGTCTTCAATAAATTTGATACTTCCATATGTATTATTGTATATTCTTGTGTCGAAATATCAATTTACAATAAACAATTTGTAAAGCAACTAGAAAAAATCGACAGTTCACCAGATATTACTCAAATCGCCAATAATGTTACTCAATTGTATTTTTAGAAAATAACAAATTACAAGATTTTTCACAAGAGTTTCTTAATAAAATTGTTAAAAAATTTGTAACCTGTATAATGAAGAAAGGTCGAAAGACAAGAATTCCCGTTCAATTCATAACACATTAGAACAATTTCTAATAAAGAAGAAGCGAAATTCAGATAATGTTATCAAATCTTGTTTAAGCTATCGATAGCTCAAATCGTTCTTGCAAGTTTTCATTATGGTAAATGGGCATTTATTTATTATCAAAAGTCAGCAGAAATGTGCTACGCTGATGGAACAAGAGAAGTTGGATATTGCTATTAAAATGGAATTGGAGTTGAGAAGGATGAATATAGCTATTGTAATGAATAAAATTTTACTTTTTTTTTATTATATTATATTTTATCTTATTTTATTTCTATATAAA